TCGAACATACAAGTATTCACATGTAACATATATAAAAAAACAATAAAATAAAATGGAAATAAGATTCTGAAAAATTAAAACAATAAATATCCTATTTATTTTATAGTAAAAATTCCTATGATTGTTTGGACAAATTTAGAGACTTTTTATTAGGGTAATATTATAAAGGACTCTAAGATATCATTCACTGTGCACCAATATCATTTGACTGCATTAAATTAGTTTTTATTCAAAGAGCTACCTCCGGAAATGTTCAGCACGCTGACATAATTTGGACCATATCCAAACAAACAAAGAAATTTCTCATTAAACCCTCTGCAGGTATTGATCGATACGTCACAACCTTCATCAACTTATCCTGCGAATAATTAAACATTTCACCTCCCGTAATTGTTCTGTAAAGCTACGCCATGCATTAAAAACCAATAAAAAACTTAATTATTTACGATTACAGACGATTTTCAACATAACTCGGAAAAGGCTTCGACCACAGGAATGTTCTCATATGAATAGAACAACATACCACCACACAATTCCGCATATACCAACGAGTTTTTATGCTTGATTAAATCATGTATAATGGTCAATTTTCAACATTAATGACCAACAACAATTTGCAATTCACATTGGATATACATATGTATGTGTATATGTATGTACTAACTGCCACATTCTGATGATTATCCCATACAACGCATTCCGTTGAAGTACCACAAAAAAAAAAATTAACGACCAATTCAATGGTTTCCAGCTTATGCTAGGGTGTACACACATTTGCACAAACACACTCACTCGCCGAAACATACACATTTACATAGAAACGCAAAATTAAAAACACATTATCCTCATGATTTATTCATTCAAATGCCGCAACATTAATCATGTCCTCAATCAAATCGACAATTTCCTGGCAAATGATGGAAATGATATACGTTTGTCATATGAGACATTTCTGATGGATTTTGAACCAAGAATTTCAATTTCATTTAAAACCATTTTATGGAAGGTGTACCAGTCTTCGATGTTTGTTATTGAGATTCATTACTAATGGTTAGTTATTTCAAAATTTTTAATTAATTTTTGTAGTCTGAGAAAGTGTTGATTCGTCTTCACGGTACATGCCACGATGATATTAGTCTTTTATTTTGAAAACTTAATGAGAAGTTAAATATACACTAGGGTTTTGAGTTTTTCACTTTTTTTCTCAAAAATGATTTAATTATAAAAAACCAAAATGTATGATGTAATAGAAATCGATAATCAAATGATATTGGATTTATAAATATAGACAATTTTGACGATTTGAGGGGAAGGTACCAGAAAGAGTGGACCCATGGGTCCCATCTTCGGACATCATATATATATATATATATATATATATATGTAGTGCAAATTTTGGTTCAACTCGGACATTCCATTCGCCTGATATTGAATTTGTAAATATAATTTTTTTACCATTTTGTGGAGGAGGTACTCGAAGTAGTGGAACGATATTATTTATCTTCGAACTTAAACTATGTTTGGAAGAAGTATGATGTACAAGTTTGGATGAAGTCGGTTATTTCCTTGGAGAGTTATCGTGCGTCCCCGCCAACCAGACGTACAAACATTGTGCAAATCATAAAAATTTGTTGTTTTTTAAAAATCCATGCCTTCTGTAAATACTTCAAAAATATATTTCCTAAAAATCCATGCCTTCTGTAAATACTTCAAAAATATATTTCCTAAAAATCCACACCTTGCGGAAATCCATACCCTTTTATCGCCTTTTGTGAAAATATTCTCCTGATGGTCCTATAAAAATATTCTTTAATAAATCCACGCCTCAGTTGGCCCTTGAAAAATATTCTTTAATAAATCCACGCCTCAGTTGGCCCTTGAAAATTATTCTTTAATAAATCCATGCTTTTTAATGGTCCTTTGAAATTTGTTCTTTAAAATTTAAGCCCAGATAGTTCTTCTTTTAAAAAATCCACGCCTGGTCCCTTGAAATCATATTCTTTAAACAATCCTTTGGTCCTTTGTACAAAAATAATTTAATAAATCCAAGCCCTGATCGTCCTTTGAGAAATATTCTTAAATTAATCGACGCCCTGCTGTTGGTCCTTTGAAAAAATATTCTTAAATAAATCGACGCCCTGCTGTTGGTCCTTTGAAAATATATTCTTAATAAATCCACGCCCTTATGTTGCTTTAAAAAATCGAAATCCAAGCCCCCTATGGTCCCTAAAAAAACTAGTCTTTAATAAATCCTCGCCCATAACTTTTGCTGTTCTATATTCTGAGCCTGGGAAATATTTTGCTATATTTGCACCCGATTAAAGAAAAAGCTCCCCTTCTAACCCTGACATATTTTCCAAATCTTGTTTTCCCAAAGTGAATATTCCGCTATAAAATACAAATTTGGTCACTTTAGGTTTTGGTTGATTTGACCATCGAAATATTGACCGATCATAATCTAAATAGCCGTTCTAAGTATTTGGGCAGATCCCCTTTACAGTGTAAAATATGTGATGTTCTGCATGTAATAATGGCTTTTAGAGGGACTAGAAAATTTGACAAAAATAAAGTTTTCGGTTCATTGCATCCATATCATATCATCTCAACATCACCGAAAATTACTCTCTTGACAATAACCGGAACTTAATGTAAATGTCCTTCATAAGTCTAGGTACTGCAGGAGAAAATATACAAGCCCCATAATAAAAATTTTATCATATCTCCATTTGACCCGCTAAATATTAACCGACCTTCATCAAAATAGTCATGCTTATTCTTGGCCAGAAGTAAAATTCCTGAAGTAAAATTTCGTAGTGTTCTGGTCACAATTGTGGCCTAGAACAACATAAATATTAAAAGATTATTACCAAAAAGAATATGGGTCTTCTTCCCCACATGCAAAATTTCGTGACGATTGGTCCATAACTGTGGCCTTTATCGTTTTTACAAATGATAATGGACAGACGGACGGACACACATGTTTAGATCAACTTATATACTCGAGATATGTCAGTTGGTATACTAAAATGTGGGTCTAGGACCAATATTTCGCTCCGTTACAAACTCTTGGGGTTACACAAATCTATAATACCCTGGCAACATTGTTGTGTAGGGTATAAAAATATAAGTCCTATGTTTATTAGGACTATTGTTATACCTCTAAAAATATTTTTAAACCAGTGAGCGGAGCAGTATAGTCGGACGGGGCCGACAATATGATACCCTACACAACTACCACGAAAAGCATACTTTTGGCGGTTCTATATTCTGAGGCTGAGCAATATTTCGTGATATTTGCACCCTTTTTATCGATTATAGATCAACAACTCCTCTTTCTAAGTCTTGCATATTTTCCAAAATGTTTTTTCTTGAAGTGAATTTTTACGCCGTACAATAAAAAATTGGTCACTTTAGGTTTTGGTTAATTAGACCCTCGGAAAAATTGACCGATCATCATCTAAACAGCCGCTCTAAGTATTTGGTCAGATCCCCTTCACCTTGTAAAATATGTGATGTTCTGTATATAATAATTGCCTCTAGAGCGACTAGAAAATCTGACAAAATTAATGTTTTCGGTTCACTGCACCCCCTGAATGAAATCTCAACTTCACCGAAAACTATAAGCGTCGTCCTTGACCATAATCGGAACTTCATGTACAATTTCAAAGCGATCAGCGCGACATTTCCGTCCTCTAATGGAATAATAGTAATAATATGCACATAGTCACCTTTACTTAATTACGTTAAGGTAAGGTTACATATCAATTTGAAGGTCAACAACTCATCTTGGACATATTATCACCATCTCCAGTATATGTCCTTCAGGAGCAAGTATGTATGCCCCCATAATAAAGATTTTCTAATTTTTCACAAAAAAGTCAGGGTCCATTTGACCCGCTAAAAATTGACCGACATTTATCAAAACACGCATGCTTATTCTTAGGCCCGATCCCCTTCTCCATGTAAAATTTCACGATGTTCGGACCATAACTGCGGCCTCTGGAGCGATCAGAATAACCGACAAAAATTTAGTATTTGGTCCATTTCATCCCCTAAATATAAACCGATCTTTATCAAAAACAATAGGGGTCTTCATTGGCCCACCCTACATGCAAAATTTCGTGAAGATTGGTCCATAACTGTGGCCTGTATCGTGTTTACAAATTATAATGGACAGACGGACGGACGGACACACATGTCTAGATCGACTCAGCTAGTCGAGATATGACGATCGATATACTTAAAGGTGGGTCTAGGACCAATATTTCGCGGCGTTACAAAATCTTGGGGCTGCACAAAGCTATAATACCCTGACAACATAGTTGTGTAGGGTATAAAAACTCACTCCTATGTTGAGACCTTTGAAAAATATTTTTAAAAATTTACGCCAATGTCGAGACATTAAAAGCATCTACGCTAATGTTTAGACCTCAACAATTTTTTTTTAATTGCACCCGTATGTGAAGACCTGCAACAAATATTTATAAAAAAGATTCACGTCTATGTTCAGACATCCAAATAATTAAGAAATCCACATTCTGTTAGGTCCATGAAACGTGGAGAACCCTTGACAATGATGAACTGTTCAAGAAGAGTCATATACTTCTGAAGATTCAATTCGCCGGATGTTTTAAATTACTTCAGTCAACTGCCAAAAAATGGTACAGAGGATCTCTATAATTCCAATAGAGCTATAAAATCTGTGGCGTAAAATTTTGGGTTTGCTAAGCCATTAAGGCAAAACTAGCTATACATCAGGGGGGAATACGAACGCTGCAGAAAATAGCGAAACTTGAATTCAATGAAGTGTTGTGAAAAGAAAAATTGAAAAATTGAAATCATGAATTAATATTTATCCCTTTTCATTCATTAATGCAATTTCTTCTCTCCTCCACAATCGCTGTAAATATCTCGTATCTCTTCGCTTTTTTACTTAATTCTTTCCAATCAATAAACAATTATTTTCTTAATATTGTAATAACAAATAAACAATAACTTACAGTAGGTATCCGTTGTCAAACGATCGATCGTATCCTGTTTCAATTTTGAACTTTTCTTTCCCATGATGACGTTATTTGTTTGCCGCTGCTGCTGCTACTGCTACTACTTCTCCTTTTTCTACTGTGGCTTTGTGAGCTCAAGGTGAAACTGTCTCTCAGGGGGGCGATTTATTGGTTATGGCCAAAATCCATAAAATTGTTGTGGCGGCGTTGGTGTTGTTGTAATTCGTTGTGGCCAAAATGGCTTAATAGCTTTTGTGGTGGTATAGCCGGCCTTTGTGCGGATGAGTATTTGTGTTTTCCTTTGTAGCTAGGTTGTTTGTATGTTGTAGTTATTGTAACTTCTTTGAATTGACGTTTATTGATTGACTAAATGACTTTCATGTCACGCTTGGTTGGTTCATTTTCTTGTTATAGGTATTCTTCGTAACAGAGTTTGTGAGCTTTAACCCTTGAGTATTTTTTTGTTTTTTAATCAAGCCTGGGGGTTGTTTTTCAGTAGTTCTGTTCTTTTTGTTAATGTTTTCCTTTGTGTGTGTGCGTGTGTTTGCTGATTAAAAGTTTATTACTATTTTTGTTTTAATTCAATTAAAATTGTACAGAACAAGGCTGCTACTGTTCGGGCTGATTGTTACAATTGATGTCATAATTGATTACAGCGACGGTTAACAATTTGCATAATGAAAGCCTGAAAAGAACAATCAAAAGATATATAAATTTAATTAGTTACACATGAATTGAACAAAAATAAATTATATATTTTTAATGTTGTGTGTGTGATTTTTTATTGTGGACAAATGGTATGATTAATATTGGACAATACAATAAATTGCTATAATAAAATGTTTCTATAATTAAATTTGTTGTATTGACAAGTTGTATTAAATATTCTGAGAACATAAGGGTGCGTATGACTAATAAAATGTTGTGCACAACTTGTTGGTGGTGTTTGATTAATTATACGAACCGATGTCCCAATGTTGTTTAATAACAAATAATCAAATTAAATTAAAAACAAATGAAAAAGGCGTTAAGTTCGACCGGGCCGAACTTTGGATATCCTCCGCCATAGGTATACTGATAGTACTTGCATTGAAAATGTGGGGAACATACCACCACTTATTCCTACACAAACAATTATTGTTGTAAAACATAATGTATACCAAATACAAATTTCAGCGATTTTTAATGGAGATTTGTCCTAAAATCGGAAAAACCCAAAATGTGGACCGATTTTGTCGATATGAGGCTATCACCGACGTAGACATGATTTTATTTCGGGGGTGGGGTGGAAGCTGCTGGTTTAATATGAATATTGTCATGTGTAGGTTTCTGGAGGCTATTACATCGTGTAGGAAATGCCTTACAGTTGGAGTTGTAATTATTTGAAGTTCTATGCAAAATTAAGGACTTATATACATAACTCTATTTCTAACCAAACATATTGGCATCACAATACCTTCCATCACGCTAAATATTAACAATACCGAAAATGGGTAGGTATCACAATATGGGGGATAGGTGTAACTGGGGGCCGATATTTTTCTTCCAGCTTCTCCCTCCCTTGTGAACATTCCTTCCTCCGAGGCTGTGTTATCCCCGGGAAATCAAACGGAAATCGAGGCAATTAATTTGGAAGGGAGCTGTAAAAATGTGAGTAACAAAGGTGGGCCAAATTTTGGTGGTAGCTGCACAGTTCTACAATTCAAATGGGTGTTTCTTCTGATTACAGGTGGCCTATTACAGCAACGGTCTGGGCATTTTGGGCGATAATGATGATGAATAATATATATCATTCTCAACATAGTCGTTCTAGTTTTTTACCTCAATATCTCCCGAAGGTAGAATGATTAAAACAGCTGGCTAAATCGTAATAGAATATACGCACTACTATGGTGGAACGCGAAATCATGGGGATAAGCCCAAAACGCAGAAAAAAATAGATAAACATGTTGATATCAAAAAGGTTCTATGGGGACTACCCCAAAAAGGGGGTGTATATTAATATTTTTTAGTAAGATTTGTTACCATATACGACGGACGGACGGAGAGACGGACGGACATGGCTAGATCGTCTTAGAATTTTACCCTGATCAAGAATATATGTACTTTATAGTTTCGGAAATGAATATTTCGATGTGTTACAAACGGAATGACAAAATTTATATACCTTCCATACTATGGTGAAGGGTATGAAAATAATTGGAAGGGAATTAGTAATGAGTTGACAAAATTTATAAAGATAGCAATTAGCTTGTTGGTATATAATTGTTCATTTAATTGAACACATTATCAATTAGGCCCTGGAAATAGTCACTAAATGGATACCTTCAGGCACAATCATATAATGAAAACTAAAATAACACCTGTGGTATGTAATCCGTAATAAAACATTTAAAGTATTTTAACCAATAATAACCTATAATTATGAACCACTTGATACAAATAGGATTTTCAGCTAAATTATATATTATTTTTTTAATCCATGTTCAAGTAATCAACAGATTTAAAATTAAATACCCTCCAAAACGTTCGTTGACAAATTGACAAAATAAGCCCAGAACTATCAATCATTTCGTTAATCACCTCTAACAATAATAATAAAAATGTTCTGTAAATTAACAAACTTATCATGATGGCTTTTGTGTGTTAACTGACACACTAAGCCATCGGTAAGTAGTCTTTGCGGTCATTCATCCAGTCAGTCAGATTTAATTACATTTAGTACTTTAGTTTGAACATTTGTGGTTGTATTTCCTTTCGTTGTCGAAGACAAATTACGTTAATTAAAATTTTTCTTTTTACTTTGTAAGTGTCGTCGCCTATATCCATCTTCTGTTACATTTCTTTTGTTATTGGCAAAGATGTGATTACTTTGGAAAATGCTTTCCTTTGTGAAAATGTAAACGATGTACAGTGGATAAAAATGTAAAATAATTGTTTCGTATCTCATTAGCAAGTTTTTTTCTTCAAATGTTTAACATGATAAGATTTTCATTTAGAGATAAGCTCATAATGAGTACATAATTTATTGCCAATTTTACAATGGTCGAATTTAATAAATAATAAAGTGTAGGTTTAATTACCTATTGAGACTAATAAGATATCGTTTAACCTTGCTAATTAAAGGAGATGTAGTTTTTCATAATTTCTCAAAACCTGTCGGTTCAAAAACTTGCCCAAGCCTAACAAAATAATAAATAATGGTATCCCGAAAACTTGGGTAAATGTAGATAATTCTTGGTATGGAGACATTCTACTTAAATAAATATAACAATGTGCAAAGTTTAGGTCATATCGAACATTACTTTTGCTTAATATTCGATTTATAAAAGTGAACATTAAGACCCTGTTGGGGGAGGTTCTAGAAGGAATGCGCCATTAAACCCCTTCTTCCAACAATAAAAAAATATTGAGCTGTGCAAAGTTTGGTTCAAATCCCATAGTTCGCTCGTATGATATTACAAAAATAAATTTCAGTAAAATTTTGACCATTTTGTGTGGGAGGTATCAGAAGGGTGGAACGATGTTCCTTGTTTTCGAACATGATTTAAGTTAGGAAGAAATATTACAATGCACAAACATGGGGTCTAAAACCAATATTTCGATGAGTTACATTTATGCCGTATCAAAGCGTATATGCCCTCATTAGCCATAATGCTGAGGGTATAAAATATTGTTAATTTTAACCCAGTCAGAATTCGACATAATAACTTACAGCCGACTAGATTGAAAATCGTGATCAAATGCTTCGAACATGGGCCAACATTGATAATTTTTGGTAGGCTGATTTTCTGCTCAATTGTTGAAAAACTTTGCTAAAAGCTTCAAATATTGGGAGGTACCATTCTATGGGACTATCTTAAAAATTGGACCGATATAACCCATTTCAATACAAAACACCCTAAAAGTAGCAGTAATTTATGTCCAAAGCTATATCTTGAATATTGCTGTCTCTATTGTGATTTCAACAGACGGACATGCGTATATCGACACTTAATTTTATTCTGATCAATAATGTTTATATTTGTGGGATCTCTAGCGAATATTTCGAAGTGTTACAAACGGAATGACAAATTTAAATTTTTGGTAGAGAATATAAAAAGGGGAAATATTCCTTAAAGGAGATTAATATTGACGAAAAAATAAAACTTGTCCTCTAATAAATATTGTCTATGAAATAGACAAAGATAGAGCTTTTAGAAACACTGAAAAAAGAATAATAAAAATATGTTTGTCCATGTCATTCCCTAAATATTAATCGATTAGTACCAAAAACCATAGGTGTATTTGGCCAAAACCGAACATACATGTGGTATGTTGCGACGTCTCTTACTGCGGCTTGGACATCAATTACAAATAGACAAAATAGTTTTGTAGGGTATAAAAATCCACCATATTATACCCTACACAACTATGTTGTAAGGCTATTATAGTTTTGTGTGGCTTCAGGATATCGCCGTGAAAATTGGTCCTAGACCCACCTTTGAGTATACCAATATCTCGACTAGCTGAGTCGATCTAAACATGTGTGTCCCCATGTACGTTCGGGTCGGGTCAAGTATGTCCCCTATTGTTTTTGTTAACATTTAGGTGATAAAATTGACCAACAACTTTATTTTTGTCTTTTTTCTGGCCGCTTAGAGGCTAAAATTATGACCATAGCATCACGAAATTGTACATAGAGAAAAGGAATTTGACAATCAGCGGGTCAAAAGGACCGCGACTTTTGTGTGTAAAAAGGCAAAAATTGTTTTATATGACGTATATATTTACTCCAGAATGACATAGACCGGAGTAGTTTATTGTGTATCCAAAAGGAGTTGTATGTTCTCAGATGCGAGTGTTCTACTTCAATATCTACAGGGGCCTACCTTTCTGGTTTCGATTAGCATTACCATTACCATTACCCCACTAAAGGTGGTAAATTTCGAGCTGTTCGCTTTGAAATTTTACATGACGTACTGGCTATGTTCAAGATGACGCCTATAAATTTCGGCGATGATCAGATGATATATAAGTGATGAAATGGACCGAAAGCTTCATTTTTGTGTGTGCGTTTTTTAAATCGCTC